GCGCTGGTTCGGGTTGCCCGTGGGCTCGAAACCGATGAGGGGCGTTCCGTTCTGGATGTTGCCTGCAATGGAGTGCACAATTCCGTCAAATGCGGCAAAGTAACCGCTCAGTAGCCAGTGACGTACTCCCAGTCAAGTCGAGGTAGGTGCGGCTGTTCGCGTTCTGGATCGTGTACTCGTCGGTGCCCGGGACTTGCGCGATGATCCACAGTTGCGCGGATACCCAGACGTCGTTGAGCTCGTGCTTGGTGAAGCCCTGGACCTTGGTACCTGACAAATATGCGATAGTGTTAGCGAGCGAGACTGGCGGCGGAGTACCCGATAACGGTATGTACCGTTGGCATTGGATCCTGTTGGTGAGAGAGCACATGGTCAGCGGCAAAGTAGAGGTGTAGAGCGGGATGGTTGCCGTACCAAGAGTGAGGTCCAGAACAGTACCAGTGCCGGCGTTCTGGATGAAATCTGCAGCAGCATGTCAGCGTATTGCCAACCACAATGAACGCCAACTCCGAGAAAGGACTTACAGACACCAGTTTCGATGGTCAGAGCAGCCATTTTCAGCGATTGAGGTTAGGTAGAGGTGAGAGCAGATGCGATGAGAGGTGTTGGGGCCTGAGGTTCCGGATTTCTCTCGCAGGGCCTTTATAGGACTGTGAAACCTCAACCCTGTGAAAGATGCGTCAGAGAATGATACGCTAGATACAAGAGAAAGGTCCACCTCAGCAAGACCCCGCACCCACTCTTCACATCGCGATACCCCAGAGCTGTCAGTGGTCTATAGATCGCACTAGCCTGTACCTTGTACGGCCGCTCCAGACGGTTCCATGAGAGGACTTGGTAGTCAGCTGCTCCCCACACGTCAAGGGCTGCCTTCCGGAGGGAGCCATATACGGTGGACCGTCATCCTAGCCGCTGGCATGGAAGGCTAATTCGTCCGGTAATGGAGCATCTCCGTTCGGTAGACGTAAGTTGTCTAGCAGCACGGGAGCATAGCCGAACATAACCTTGGAGTTAGAGGGAGACAGGTACCGGCAATATGATGGCGGCGGCTAGGAGAGCGTCGCAGGGCCTGACACGAACGTGCGAGACGGCCTTTTGATGTGGCAGGGTGCGTTCGGAGAACAGTGTAGTGAAGGGAAGTACATGCAGATGCCGGAGCACCACTGCGTAACATCGCATCTTCTCCACGTGACAATACGCAATCCTCGAGATGTTACCGCCTCTTACGGTGTCTCTTACACCGTGAGAGTGTCGCGAGAGGTCTTTCGACCTAAACAGAGCCCTCCCCTGATATCGTAGTGAATGGTCAGTCATGAATCACCAGAGAATAGATTTTGCGCTAGTCGAAAGCGCATTTTAGAGAGCTGAGAAAGGACGGAGAGGCGTTCGGTAGGCTTCTGTCGTCTGCAGTGCGGATAGAGGCTCCAAGGTCCCAGTTACCGGTACAAACATCCCAATATTCAAGACTTGGCTACGATGGAACAGGCAGCACAGACCCCCAAACGCGCCCGCACCCGTTGTCACCAAGGTCATGCCTATGGACATCTGATGAGTCTAGCCGGACCAGCACTAGGACTGAGGGCAGATTCAATCAAGCTCCGCCGTCTACCGCGGGCGGAACCTCTTCAGCGGGCGTGGGACCAGCAGCCCACCCCTCAGCCACGACGCCCATCAGCTCTGGCAGCTTCTTCCATAGTCCGCGATGCTGCTCCTTCTCCCTCTCCTGTAGCATCTTATAACATCGTGCGCATATCCTCCGGTCGTCGTCTCTCCCATCGATGTAGTCCGACCAGTACTTGAACCAGTCCAGCGTGCACACCACCCGCTCATGATTCCGAAGCTCGTCTAGGAGGTTCAGGAACACCGGCCCGCAGACGTCTCGCCGCGTGCAACCCTCGGAGAGCGTCTGTTCGAATACGCCAAGGGTAGCCATGGTGTTGGCCTGCATCAGGTTCACCCGCCCCAAGAAACACCGTCCGATGTCCTCTGGGGAGCTTCTCCAGGGTGCCGTCCTCGCGCGTGAAGCCGAAGCCCACCAGTTCAGTCCAGTTGAGCATGCAGCACCCCATCAGGGCGGTGGGAAGGACATCAGGACTTGTCATGCGGGAAATATTCACTACACCGATAGAATGGATGGCCTCGAAGGCGGGCGGACGGAGAGGATCGACTCGCGCCCACGTTTCGAAGCTCTGAACAAAGAACTCTTCAGGTAATCGACGCAGCGCTGCAGGATGTAGTCGATCTCGTACTTGTGCCCAAGCCTGGCGCACGCAGATACTGCGTTGAGAAAACAAGGCCTCTGGAGTTACGCTGGGAGAAAATATGACAACACCTGTACAAAAGAGGATAGGAGTAGGCTGAACATACCGTGGCGTCTTCCCAGGGAGCAGGGCGCGGAAAACGTGCCTAAGGTCTTCTGGTGAGTCAGACACATGTACGACAGCAGGCTTAGTACCACATGTGCACTGTGATCCTGATGTCCCGTCCGGTTGGAGTATAGAGAGCAAGTCCTTGAAGACGGGCGAATTGGTTACCAATGGACCCTTGGAGATGAGAAAGTCGACGTTGCTAGCGATGATCGTCAACTTGAAGTTGCCGTCCTCCAGCCAGTATTCCGTGTCGTGTTCAGGCAGATTGCATGCAGCATCTTCTGTTCGCTTCGTGACTGTCGTGGGTTTAGCCGGACTTGAGGCATCCGGCGGTGGCGAGGAGGCTTGTCCGTTCGTGTCGGATCTCGGTACTACAATTGGCATCGCTGCTAGCTCCTGTTAGCCATGTCAGCCATGTCAGATAAGACATACGCGAGGTAGCATGGCATACAAGTCACCAGGTGAAGTAGATACAAGGACTGGGCGCTTCACAGTGGGGCAAGATTGTCGAAGGGAAGAAAGTCGTCAACCACGGCGGTCCGGACCAATATTGACAGGACCAACCATCTAGCATGAGCCCTCGTTGACCGAGAACTCGGCACTGCCCAGTTTGGATCTCATACATATCGGAATGTGTCCGTGCTGAAGGAAATGAGCATGAACGGCATCGTGCATCACGCACGCAGAAGGTCGAACTAGACGCTGTCGCTCGACACGTACACCTGTCAGGTTCATGGCTGCACGGTTGCTCAGACGCTCGCACATCGATATCAGTCCACGCGCAGCCTTCATTTTCTGCTCTAGATCTGTGTCAGCCGCGCGTGTACACTTCAAGTCAATGGGGAAATCTTCCATTGTGTAACTGTCTTCGTTGAAGTTTCGGTGATCTCCATGGGAGGTAGTTGGCTGGTAGCGGAGATCGACGCTAGGTGCCTGAAGGCCGGGAATGGAAACCCCGGCTACTATAACTTTAACCAAAGCATGGAAGCGTGGAATTCGCCAACTTCTCAGCGCTGACATAGAAGCACAGAAAGGCAGTCGTTATTGTTGATCTTCATATTGGAGGACAGGATCTACCTGTTCATCAAACGGCGTATTCACACGAGCCCGACGGGACCCCGATACGGAGCCCTTGCAGATCATTTGCACCACTTTGGCCTCGAACCACGTCCGCCTACATCCCAATTATGGAGGAATTACATCGAAGCATCGGGCATGGCCCAGGACCTTCAGCGATTGGTACGGGTCTTCCAGGTGCTTCATCCCGTCCTTCGTGAGTTGTACGTCAAGAGCACCTGCATGGAAGTCATCAGCTCAGCCGCCAGGACGCGCATCTACCCTTCGCCAATGTGACGCATGCGGGAAAGAACAGAACCTACCAAGGATATCTGCGAGGTTCCTCGGGCTCGTCGTCCCGATGATGGGCGCGGTGATGCCAGGCTTGTTCATGATCCAGGCCGTCGAGATCTGGGCCATGCTTACGCCCTTCTCCGCGAGCTCCTCGACCCTGCAGAGGAGTGCTGTCAGCTCATCTGTACGCCAAGACAGACGTGACGGAATGCACCTGCTGAGGAGCGTAGGAAGGATTGAGATGTCGTAGAATGGGAAGAGGCCGGCATACACGAGCTTAGCACTCGAGTACTGAAATGTACCTCTTATGGTGTTACCCGTCAGTCTTCGGCCTAAGAGTCTTGCCGTCGATGTGACGAGCGAGCAATCCGCGCCCGAGAGGAGACCACGGGATCGAGTCGGCATCGAAGTGCTGCGCAGAAATCCGGGTTAAGGAACTAGTCGTGAAAGGTCGCGAACATGGGACGAACCTTGAGCGTCGGGAACATCTCGCGCTCCTCATCGCGATAGAGCGAGCTGTAATGATTCTGCACAGAGACGAACGGCGTGATGTTTTGGTTGATCGCATGGTCTACGCAAGAGGAATGGGTCCATGTGAGCTGGGCAAGTTCGGATTGGACCACTAAACGTCATACTCTGCATGATGGTGAAGATGTGTCAGAAGCAAGGACACAGATGCAAGACAACAAGCGTACACTGATAAGGCCAGCACGGGCTCATGCCAATGTTACGAACGTATATAGCTTTCACGATAACGTGTAAGGCTTGCGTCTGCGCTTCTGTCAGTACGTGCTCAAGTAGACTAGGCAGGTACCCACAGTCTCCTCAATCGGCGTTTCGTAGTCGAAACGATGGTCTGCGCAAGGAGGCTTCCAAGATTCCCACTTTCGCGATCACGGAAATCTTGGGCTTCGCTGCGAGTATGTCGAAGGGACTTGGGAAGTAGAAGTGTCTCCTGCGGAGGGATGGCTGCTTCTCGACCACACAGAGCGACGCGGCGCGACCGGAGCGACTTGGCAGTCGAAGGCGGGATGAACAGTAGGTAGCAGGTAGAAGCGACCTCAAAAGGGGTGTCTACAAAGTAGTCGGTCAAGTGCTGCACGCTGGTCGATCCGCGTGTACTTACAGGTGTTGGCAACGGCAGCCACTAGACGTGGCAACTTCTCGTCCATCTCAACCCTACGAATGGCGATCATCTCAAGCAGATCATCTTGTCCGTTTTCGATGCGCGCGAAGTCGGACTCATATGAGTCGATGGCAGCGGTAAACATGGAAAGAGAGATGGAGAGCGGGAAGGCGGGGTGGGTTTCGGAGGGGGGATCTGCGTCAGCGGGATGTAGCTGGCGGAAGACGGTTGCTGGCGCAGCGCCCGCGCGCGTCCCCTGTGCGCGTGCGGTCACATGATTCTGTTGTCGGCTCGGCCACTTACGATGTCGCAGCACGTCGCGCCGTCGCGTCTGCTCTACTGAACGCCGTCTCTACATCGACCGCCGACATAGCTCGATCCCTTCCTCCGCTTCCCCGCGCATCCTTCGGGACTCCCATTTATCACCCAACGTCTTCTCGGTCTGGCTCCCAGCATGGTTTGCTTCTTGGTGCAAGTGTGTCTCGGCCAGATTCCTGTTGCTTGTCCTGGTCGTCCCCTTTCAATGCCCATCTCCTCCCTTCGCATTCATACGAGTCAAAGCGCTCTAAGACTGTCCCTCCTTGGCGTGGAGACCTGTGTCGCTGGGGTCCACCCCCAAATTATCCCCACTGCTAACCGCTGTGAGCCATTCACGTCGTCATTGTGCTCACAGGTGAGTTTCTCATCCGGTGAGTACCATGCACTCTGTTCCTAGAAATTCGTGTGTTGGCTTGGCATGTCTGGATGATCATGAGATATGGTCTGCATGAAGCACTCGTATCGCAGAGGACACACTCCGATAGCCAGTAGACGTGAATATCGAGCCTGCGGGGTAAGTCGACCTCATCCTCGTCATCGTCTTCGTCCTTGTCCAGATGTGATGTAGCCGATCCTGGGGCCGAACCCAGAGCCGAGACATAGAAGACGGTGGAGTGATGAGCGAGTTGAAGGTAGGGTGATAACCACGGTTATGTAACAGGGAGTCATGCCCGATGATGAGCTTGCGTGGTCGTGGAACACGAACCAGGCGAGGGGCAATGGTCTGGACTGTTGCAGAAGCTTCTTACCGTGGATTCTGAGAATTGCAGGTTCGACAGGGCACTTGCATATCGTCTCAGGTGCACGATACGTGCAGTACACGCCTGTACAGTCAGAGAATAAGGTTAGATATTCTGTTCTCCATCGCCGTTGAGACCTGTACGCTCCATTATCTTCACCTCACGGTCTGGCGCTGCGCGCGTGTCTTATTCTCCACTCTTGCGCGGACGCGAACAAGAGCGGGCGATGTTGAATGGAGCCTCATTCTCTTACCTCGACCCAAGGCGCTCAATTCTCCAGATTTCTCCACTCCGTATGTCCCCGCATTCATCGCGACGGACTTCAAAGAAAACCGAGGGAGTCCGCTCGCGAAGGATGCAACAATGTCTTCAACTATGATGCGGCTGACTAGGACGATGGTGAGACCGGATGCGGTTGTGGAGGCACTGCAGCTTCTCCGATTCTGGCATTCTGGGGAGACAAGATCGTCAGCTGGACGAGTGCGTGCCTCGCGTTTTCTTGCACTGTGCTGTATGTAGGGGCTATTCGACGACCCAAACGGTCACTGACACAATCCATATGCCATAGCGAAGGGACTTTTGATCATAACTGCATGTCCCAGCGACCTCGACATAATGTCCATCGCATACACATTACCAACGGACGTTCTTGAAGGCAAGACTGGTGGTATCTTGGACGAGATGTCATCGCTCAGGACACTTCAATCCTGTCCGACCCGGCGTCGATACATCCTGTACACGTGTCATTGAGCTACACGACACACATTGCAGAGTAGATCCTGTGTTTACCGTCGTCGTTCTTATGTTGTTCTTCGCTAGGGACGGTCACCACCATGTCGGTGAGGTCATTCATTCGGAAACTTATACGCTGTGATCATGCGGATCATTTATGACAGCTGGCTATTGTAGCATCGCTCGAATACATTGCACGATGTACCTTCAATATACACTACCGCTTCTGTCTAGAACGCTACTTGGGATGTCTTGAAAGCGGGCCCACTTGGGCTGCCGACGACGACATCCCATAACAGAGCAAGGGCAACCTCCAGCTTCTCCTCCATCCCCTTCTTCACATTGAACGTCATCTCACATGCACCGTCGTCGGTTCTCCATACCCCGTGGTTTCCGCGGGTGGGATTGGACGGGAACATCATAATGTAGTTGTCAGTCATGATGTGGTCGGGGTGCTGCCAGCAGACCTTCCCTGGCGAGCCGAAATGAACCGATGCCCAATCAATGCTGTGGGTAGGGAGAACGTGAGCGCAATGCCTCCTGCAGAGCCTGAAGGGAAGTGGGGAGTACTCACCGGTAGTATGAATTGATAACAACGTGACCTGGAGTTTCCGCGATGTAGTGACCACGATTCGCGCGAGCAGCGGCCAGCCATTCCTGCCCTGCGAGCGCAAGGAAATCATGTACGTATTGTGGCTCACGGGCGGCCTGGAGCGAAAGACGAATTGCATGCGCATAGGAAATGATGGTACCGCCAAGCGACTCGCGATCCAGCCCTGGAGATTGGACAATGTCGGTGAGAGCATACAGAAGGGCATTCCCGGCGGCGTCTTCTGGAACAATAGCAGGATTGAAGCCCCTACACTACATAACAGGTAACATACAAGTATGCCGCATATCAATGAAACGTGAATTGTGAAAGATTGAGACAGACACGCACATTGACCACGTTTGTTACTTGGGTTATTGGCTCGCCGCGGCTTACAGATATGGCGGTAACGATGAAAGCGCTGAGGACGTCCTGCCGACTGAGTTTCACGACTTCCTTGAAGTCCTCGCTAGAAAGAGCTCGAGATGCAAGAAAATCGCGGAACAGGAGAGAGAGGCGTTGATACAGAACGAGCACTTGTTGCCCAGTGAGGTAGACGTCAACGCGATTTACCGGAAACGGACTGAAAATGGAATACGGTATGTTCTCCAGAGGGAACGTATGAAACAGGATCGGAGTAAGCTTCGAACGCATGTAAGCCACGCGCTCACGATTGGAGGGTATATCAATATGTAATGGTAGATCGTATTCCGGAATGGTCTCGACCACTGGGGCCAAGTGCTCGGTGAAGTACTGCGACCACGTCCGCAGGAACTTCATAACCATGGTGTGATCTCCTGCGGGAAGAAGTCAAATCGGCACTAAAGCACACGGCTGGGAAGGGTCAAACCTAGAATATGTGAGGATGAGATCCCTAACAAAGTCGTGCTTTCCGTAGTTACTATTGTAACCTTGAGAAGTTCAGGTTCAACTCCGGAAAGAAGTTTCAGAGGATCCAGCTTTTCTATCAGAGGTCCCGGTCGCGGAACAACAACCGCCTCCCGCTCATGAAGCTCAGGAGAATTCTTCGGTTCGTGTCGTTTGAAGAGAGGTACAGGTCGCAAAGAAGTCAAAAAAATCTACGTATATCGTCAGCGCTGTAGGGCATCGCACAAACTCAAAACCCACCGCCCATATGGGATCCCTCAGAAGTGTCCCGCAGAAGAGAGGAAATCGTGACAAAGTACGTGCCAGGGCATCTTGCAGCTTAGAAGTACATAGTCTCTCTGGCACAACATACGCCGTATCCAGCTGAGAGTATTATGGCACATCAGTACGTCGCATACACACGCAAAGTAGGTGCACTTGCCGTGAAGTTGATCAAGAGGTTATTTGACTCGAGCTGATAAATATCTCGACCGTGGAGAACTGATGCGGACTGGGGATAGACGAACTCCTTGACTCTAAGTTCATGGGGCATCCTGAAGACGACGATGTCAATAAAGTCCATCTGTAAACAATACATACTCACACGGTGCGATAGCCTGCCAATGATATGATATGTAGGCTTGAATCCAGAGGGAGCGGGAAAGCAAGATAGTCGAGAGAAAGTGCTGAGACAGCGGGACAGGGGAGCTACTGACACAATGGGTCCGAAGCATCGCGAGCCCTTCAGCGCTGTTCATTGAGGTCTAGGGCGGGGTCGTGTGAACGCATTTCAATTCTGGGTACCGGGCGCCGAGCGGTTAGAGAAGCACATGGGACAGCCAAACGTCGAACATCAGAAGCAGTACTCAAACTCAACGCACAATCCATTCTTTCAGGGCACTTCCTCAGAAGGGGAACAAGTCGGATGATGGTCCGACTCCGAGCGCCGAGAGTGGGCGTGGCCTTCCTGTACTTCCAGTCAGGAAACTCGAACCGGAGGCCTTGTGCACGCACCGGTCAACTCGACGTGTACTTTATTACTCATGCATGGGCTGTGCAAGGCGTGACATACTAGTACTGTGCCGCTCGAACCCTCAATGACATCCCTTCAAGCTGAAACCACGTTGACGACAGACTGAGATGATGCGATGGCGACATGTTCAAATTTTTTGAAAAGACCTGAGTAGACCCGGCAGACCGTTAGTCGCATGCTCTACCCGCAGTGCGTTTGGATGCCCTGCAATCACCCATGAAGCCACAAATAGTTCAGAAGGGCTCTCGAGGGTAGATAATGGGCGAACATGTACAAGGAGCAGCGGATGGAAACTTCAAACCGATCATCCGCAGCCACGGCGACATACCCACACCTGCAGCCGGAAAAAAAAAAGTAGTACTAGGTGAGTAGAGTAGAACTTACCCCTTTCGTCGAAAAGTGTCCGCTTCTCGGAATCGCCGGCTGCCACAGTGTTGGGTCTGACATATCCACCGTGATATGAGCGGGGCGTATCGGCTTGTACCTAAGCTTGAAAAGAGTATACTAGTGAGCGATGGATCTCGCGGAAAGCCTTGAGTAGGGTAGGGTAGAATGCGGGCAGAGCGAAGTGTTAACGTGGAGGAGACCTCGGATGTGATTCGTCCAGTGACTCGTACGATGCTTCCAAATGACAGCAACCGCCATTTCTGCAGTGAGCTCCTTGTTCCGGATACGCACACCGTTGTGACCTCACTCGTAAATCCGGCCGACTGGCTGGGTTCCACTTGCATCGTCCAGAGCCGTCCATATACTCCGTATTCCTACGAAGGCGGCGGGGATCACGTCGCGAGCGCGAGAGCGTTTCCAGGTATCCCGCGGCGTTCGTGAGCACGCTCAGCAGAGATGGCCTAGAATCGCTTGCGAGAAAACGCGAAGTCAGATAGAAAGCTACAAAGGTATCCTCCCCGAAGTAGTAGAATGCACATATAGACGATCGTGAAGCGCGTGGTATACCAACCGATTGTCTGTTCTACTGCCACATTACGCATATTCGAGAAACATGACAGCACGAGCATCTACATCAGAACTACTGACCATCAAGCCATGCGCTCATCCTTGCGAGTGCCTCTGTTCTCTCGGGCTCTTGCCACTTGAAGACGACGAAGTCGTGCGTAGCATCCGGTGGGAAGTCCTCAACCACCGTCACCCCATCCGCCTTCATTCGTTCAACTAATGCAGTGGACTCGTCTAGTGCTCGCTCCGCCCCCCCAGCAGCAACGTAGGTCTCCGGAAAGCCTTCAAACAAGCCTTTTCCCTTCATTGGCTCGCAGTCGAGAGATGATGGGGACAAGTACCGGTTGGTCTTCACCACCTCGAAGTCCAGCGGCCCGCGCAGCGACGTCATCCCGTACTCGCCAAAGAGGCGGCCAGGCTTCAACGGGCCAAAGATGTCACTGGCTCTGTTCAAAAGGTGGGAAGAGCCCGGACCAACATGAGACATGGAGAGGTCAAACCAGCCGGACACGGTGAGGATGCGTCCTGGAGGTGGCAGGGAAGGGAAGGGATTCTCGACGAGGTGACGTACAAGCGCGATGGCGAGGTTTCCTCCAGCCGAATCGCCTGCGATGGTGATGTTTTCGGGTGCGAAGCCCGCATCTTGCACCAAATAGCGATAGCCGGCTAGAGAGTCAAGGACCGCGGCCGGGAAAGGGTTAGCAGGAGGGTTGGGGGCAGAGGCGGTGAGGCGATAATCGATGGCAAGGACCCGATCGAGGCTCTGAGAGTGCTCCAACAGTCCTCTAGTGAAGTTTGCTGTGATGTCCGATGGGTTCGCAGAGCCAATCTGTGGATAGGGGTCGATTATTTCACTGCATGCAGGTAAGATGTCAGCAGCATTGAATTACACACATAGAACGCTCCACCGTGCAAGTGGAGGACAGTCTTTTCGCCAGGCTTTGCCTTGGGACCGTCCCAGACGGCACCCTTCTTCAGCAACCAATAACCCGCGATTCGGGCGGGAAGGACGCCAGTGATGTCCCCCAGACGGCGGATCTCGCCACAGTATAACGACTCATCGATCCCCTCCACCCAGACGAACTTGGCGTCAG